TTTTTTTTTCTACAAACAATACCATCACATATGTTAATTATTTATATAGGTATAGAAAAAGAAACCTTTAACAAACATATTGAATAATAATAAAATAAATTAATACAATACTCAACTAGGTATTCATTAATTCTTTTTATTCTGCAATAAAAATTCAAAATCATACAATCATTTCTCAATCAAATCAGTAGGAAGATATAGTTGTCCTAAATAACATCAAAAAAACAAAATATTCAAAACAATGATAGATAAAAATGATCAACGACTACTTTCATCTGCTCATTCTGCAGTAACACCAAGACAATATAGGCAATCAAGTCTTCCTAGAGTTTCTCGTCAACAATCAATTGAGAAACGTATTCATCGAAAAAAAACAAATAGTGCAAAATCAATGATTATCATTCATACAAAAATTCGATCACAGAATAACTCTCTTACTGGAAATAAAAATAACAATGTCAATAATATTGATAAATTTCCTTCAGTTAGTTGTATAATTTCTAGATTTTATTCATTTTCTTTCTTTCTTTCCAAATAGATTAATGATCTTGTGAATTCATCTCATCATCGTCAAAATTCAAAATTAAGTTTTAATCAAAGTTTAAATGAATGGTCAAATAATAAAACACAATCTGCTCATATTAAATCACAACATTCATCATTATCTCAAGTGAGAAATATAAATATTATTTTTTTAAAAATATTTATTTTATTATTAATCAGTCACATTTTGATCAAAGACAAATAAAAAGTTCAACACAATTCAACATTGATCACAATAGAAAATCAAAAAAACGAACAAAACGTTTATCAAAATCATCATCAAAAGTCATTCCATTGAATGTTATTATATTATAGATTTAATTTATTTAATATGATTATTATTTGTTTTTTGAATACTATAGGATAATATCTCTCGTGGTTCAATTCAATTTAATAGATCTAGTACAACTAAAGTAACAGTTTTTTTTACTATGATTTATCTATTTATTGTTTATTAAACAAATTTAGACATTAAATGAATATTCAAGTGGAAAAAGATCTCTAGGTGAATATCATGAAATAGTAGAAGATAGAAAAAAAAGAAAAAAACGAAAGTAAATATTAGTTTAGAATTTCAATTTGAATATTCATTTTCTTTTTAGATATTTTTATTGTTTTTCATGTCCATGTCGACTTTGTTGTTTACTTTGTCTTTTAATTGGTCTTTTTCTTGGAATACTTCTTGCTGTTTTATTACTTCAATTTTTACCAAAATCACAAACAACAATAACAAGTTATTTTATATTTATTTACTATTTTATATTAAAATAAATATTAATTTTTTTTTAGCAACAATAAGTATTTCTACATTATTAACAAGTATGTTCAGATTAAAATAAATTCTTTTTGTGTAAAGATTTTTTTTCTTGTAGATACTTCGACAATAGGTATATGATCTGGTGTTGATTTATCGATATAGAACTACTGTAATTGTCTTTTATTGTTTTAATAGGTTTATCCACGACAACGTCATCAGTAACAACGTCTTCTTCTACGACGACACAAACGACGACAACAGTGACAACGACAGTTACATCGACAACAGAAATAACGACAACTACAACAACAAGTAAGACTTTACTTTTAGTGAAAGAATCGAAAATCTATAAACTTACAGTTTACAGCTTATAAATTTCTTTTCAACATTCTCTGAAGTATATATAAAGGTTTTCCGAGAACTAATTGAAAACATTACTCTTATAAAATAAACATTTAAACAATGATAGTAATCTCAAACAAATTTTAATAATTGAAAATTAGTAAAATTATTATTGTCTTTTATTTATTAGCTACAACAACAACCAATTATGTTTGTGGTTTTTCATGTCTCAATCAGTCATGGATTTCTTCTACTAACTTGCGTGCTGAATGGAAATTTGATAATAATCTAATTGAAGATGTCAGCAATACTATCACATCTCCAGCACAAAGTCCTACATTTGTAACCGGTTATGTGAATGAAGCACTCTTATTTGACACAAGTCCTATTCAATCATTAAGAGGTCCATCTATGAGTCTGACGAGCATGAGTTTTACGATTGATGCTTGGATTTATCCTACTAGTTTTCCAAATTCAAAAGATCATAGTATAGTCGGTCTATGTACTAAACCTTCCATTGGTGAATGTCTTTATCTATCTATTCATGAAGATGGTGGTAACTTTTATCTTTATTTTGGTTTCTTTGATGATGATTGTCAAGGAAATACATTTGTACCTTTAAATGAATGGATGCACGTTGCTTTTGTCTATGAATTAAATTCATCAAGTCAAAGTATATATATGAATGGAAAATTGGATTGTAGTAGAGTGTCAGGAGGATCATTCCAAGCTGCTCCAGACATTATAACAATTGGTAGCATACCAGTACTTGATGCGGCATATGGTCCAAACTACTTTCAAGTAAGATATGATTGTTCTTCTCATAGCCTAATAAAAAGTAAAATAATCAGAATATTTGGATTTTTAATTAAAACAAATTCAAGAAATATTTAATTGAACAATAATGTTGTCGAAAACGAACTTGTTTCTTTTATGTTTATAGGGAATAATTGATCAAGTGGCCATTGCAGAGAGGGCTAAATCATCATGTGAAGTTCTCGAAGAAGCAATATTATCAGCTTATTTTACTTTTAATTCAGGTATTTCGTTTAACGATTCAGGGCCTAATTCTCTATCAGCTATTGGATCATCTGTTTCATTCGTGTCTACTGGTCATTCTCTTGAAGCTATCTCATTCAGTGGTTTAACATCTTCATATTTTCAAATATCAGGTGTAACTAGTCTTGGTATTACAAATCGTCCATTTTCAATCTCACTTTGGATACGACCTCGATCTTTATCGGGAACTATTGTTCATGTTTCAGCAAATTCATCAGGTCTTGGATGGTGCTATCCTTTCTTAGGATTTACTGCTAATGGTTCGATTGTTGCTCAAATGTACAGTAGTATTGTTAAATCCGTGATTGGTCCATCTGTACCCGTGGCATCGGATTGGACACATATTGTTGAAACATGGGGTCCAACAAATGGTCTTCGTCTTTATGTTAATAATATTTTGGTTGCTTCCACTACTGCAATGGCCACTTCATATGTTGCTAGTTTAGTACAAAATTATGTTACATTAGCAAATAGTCTCAGTGGTGTTGGTATTTGTGATGCAGGTCTTCTTGGATCAATGAGTCCATATAATGGTGATATTGATGAATTCAGAATTTATAGTCGAGAACTGACTGCTGATGATATATGTACACTTTATATTAGTTGAACTGAGAATTTTTTGCTGCCTTTAATTGTTTTTATAAAATTGAATTATTTTTTGCTGCTTCAAAAAAAACTTGAAGGTGTGGGTGTGCGTGTGTGGGTGTGGCTGTGGGTGTGTAGGTGTGGCTGTGGGTGAGTGTCAGGGTGTGGGTGAGGGTGTGGGTGAGGGTGTGGATGTGGGTGTGTGGTGTGGTGTGGGTGTGGGTGTGAGTGTGGGTATGGGTGTGGGTGAGGGTGTGAGTGTGGGTGTAGGTGTGGGTGTAGTTATGCATCTTACCTTCATACAACACATACGCCCACATTCACACATCCACACCCACACCCACACTCACACCGACACTCACACCCACACCCACACTCACACCGACACCCACACCCACATCCCACACCCTCAAGAGGATTGATAGCTAAAAGTTTAACTGAGATATTGTAATTTCGGAATTGGACGGAATTGCTAGGAATTGCGACTGCACTGAATTACCGGAATTCCGAAACTGATGGAATTGATTCCGGAGGCGGAACTGATTCCGCAATGTTCAACATCACGGAGTAGGATGTATTCTCCACACCCACATCCCACACACCCATACTCTTGAAAGTTAAAAGTTGAAGCTTGAAGGTCGAAAATTGAAACTTGAAATTTCAATTGAATTCAAGTTTCAAGTTTTACATCTATGCAAATACACGAGATTAAAGAGCAATTAAACATCTATAGAAATGACATTTAGAGACAACTTCACATTAGTTGATTTGTGGATATGCTGGGGTCGCTACCTAAACCAGTGCTATAATTTTATTCAATATCAGCGAGCCGGTATCTGGACGCTCATAAGGCCAAAACTGAATGAAAATGCAATATCCTATATACCATTCGACTTCCCGCAAGTGGTTCTCAAAATCATATATCTAGCTTCTCAATTCAAGGAAGCTCGCCAAATCTGACAGGGTCCTTTGTAATCCTTCTTTTTCACTATAATGAGAAACACTCTGGCATAGTGTTGATATGATGTTAAAAGAGAATTCATCGTTTTTATTATCGTTAGAAGAGATCTTAGATTAGAAGAATATATAGATGATCTAAAAAAAAAAGAATTTTTACGGTTGATACAACATATTATCCTATATTAACGCTAAAGGACTACCGGTTAAAATCGCTAGTGAAAGAAAGATTAATCGATTGAGTCTGTCATACTTTGTTGTTAGCTTTAGTCAACGATCTATTAATCTTTCAAGCATATCATAAACGATAATATAGTTCGCTTATATTTTACAGCAGAAAAGTTAAGCGCATCTACTTGAGATAAGAGACAACTGAAGTATTTATTTGAATCAAGCTAAATATGTTGGATTATTTGTCGTAGATTTTGTATAAAAGCATTATGCATTCTCTGGTTCTCGTATTTTGCCATATTTGTCTCAGTAAAATATATTACAACTATGATTTCAGGTAAATTTATTTTGCCATCAATTTTCTTTCTTATTTCAACAGCTTCATCATACAAAAAGCCTGTTGGAGGTGCTGATGGAATTTACATGTTTCATATGACATCGAGCACAAGTAATGACCCTATAATAGAATATTTAGGACCAGCCAATTTCACTACGACTGTACTAAGTGGACCTTCGCAGCGTAAAGACTCAGGTGTTCATTGTGAACAAAACGTCTTTTTTTCGACGGACGATATGAATAAAGCAATTAGTGGTTTAGCTAGTTTCTTTGGTACTGGCAATGCATTCTATGCAAAGAGCGTCTCAAGTTATTATGGATCGGCTGTTGCATTTGGCTGTAATTATGGTAATGGGCAACATATGGATGCTAATTTTTTCATTCAAGAGCAAAATTTGATTAATAATAAATGTGGAAGCGGGAGAGGCGGATGGAGCAGTCATGAAAGTTGGAAATCATCATATGGGCGGACATCAGCATCAAAAAGCTTCTGTTAAGCTGATTACACTGAGAGACCTGTGTTCAGTTAATAATATGATCGATTTGTCTTGTCTAAATCAAAATTTACGATGAAAAATCGTAAGAATAAGTGATCACAATATTGTGGGGTGGGTGTAGGTGTGTGGGTGTGGGTATGGGTGTGCGTGTGGGTGTGGGTATGGGTGTGCGTGTGGGTGTGGGTGTGGGATGTGGGTGTGGGTGTGGGGTGTGGGTGCGGGTGTGGGTGTGGGTGTGGGGTGTGAGTGGGTGTGGGTGCGGGTGTGGGTGTGGGTGTGGGTGTAGACTGTCTTTCCACCCACACCCACACCGGCACCCACACCCCACACCCACACCCACACACCCACACCCACACATCCACACCCACACCCAAATATTGTGCATTATTTCTTTTTCTTCAATAATGACCCTTTGAAGAGTTTCAAATTTTAATTCTACCCTCAAATTTAGAATGTTTATTAAAATTCATATAAAATACTAATTGTCTATTATTATCACAATAACAGTTTTATGACTCATTGTTGTTACGAAAAAAGTAAAGTTTATGAGAACAAAAATAAAGGATCAAAGAATGATTGTTCTTTCGTTTGTCAGTCGTAATTGCATATGATAAGAGAAGAAAAAGTGATGTCAAAACAAATATTGATGTGAAAGAGTAGCAGTAATAGTAATAACAATGTCATTCTTTTTTTTATCTCGCTTATCTATGTACAATGAATATAAAAGCATTAACGAATTCATTCATATGACGTTCAACGTATATTTCGAATAAAATGAATTTCGAATTCTTACCCAATGAAATAATTCTGGATTTATTCGAATATCTCTCTCTTATTCATCTTTATCAAAGTTTCTTTGCTCTCAACTCACGTTTTAACAAATTACTTTGTCAACAATTTCAAAAATTTCATCTTGATTTCCGACTAATATCAAAAACAAATTTCCATCGAGTATGTCAAAATAATATTCTATCAGTCATCGATCGAATTATTTCTCTTCATCTTTCTAATGATGATAATACTCCACAAGAAATTGAATATTTTCTATCTCATGGTTATCAACTTCGTCAATTTATTCGTTTAAAATCAATATCATTATCATGTCTTAGATCTCAACAAACACTCGATCAAATAATGGTTGAATGTTCTTATCTTCCTTGTCTCATCCATCTTACTTTAACTGATAGCCATGTATCAATGAGTGGGAATGATGCACAACGTTTGTTTAATCATATATGGAGTCTATCAAAACTAACTTATTGTCATCTGGATAACTGTTTTGTTGATGAG